GGGCCCTGGGAGCTGTTTGAACCACCACCAGATCCCTCCAAACTTAATCTTTTCCTGCAACTTGGTCACGAGGAGTGGAATTAAGGACCTATTCTTATATCTTTTATATATTGTGCTGATTCTTATAGGCAATGCTGTTTGCAAACATCTAAAAGGATGTGAAAAAAAACAAAAAAAAATCAATACATGTAAGAAAACAAAACTTGCACACACTGAACAATATATCATACCATTTATTTATCTAATATCTATAACTATTCATCTAGCCATAGCTCCATTTGAAATAAGAGTTAATTCCTTAACTCCCCACCCACATATGCCTGGTAAAATGTGATGTTCCTCTGAAAGTACTCAAAGGACTCACCTCTTTGTGTCCAACTTCGCATCATTTTCCGTGTCCGACTCTTCCGTCTGCTCTGAGTCCGAGGATGAGTCGGGACCCCGATGGTACTGCAAGAGACGGTCCAGGAGAAAGGACTTGTCTCGACGCACCCGCAACAGAGCTCTCTGGGCTTTCCGAAGTTCTTCTTGGAAACACTCATTTTCCTGGTGGACATGTTATTCCTTCATATTTCCTCAATTCTAATATAAAATTCAATAAGACTAATGCGTTTACTTTCACTTGCGTTATTACAAAGTTCATTAAATAACTGTTGTGACCTATTTACTAATATTTCCCAATTGACCTATCAAAGGGCCATGTAATATGTTGAATGCAGCAGTGAGTGCAATAGGTCTCTCCATCACTGTTGAACCTCTTCCTTACATGAAATAAGACTGAAAATTGTTTGAATTAATTCTCTTCCTACAAATCGAACGTAATAATGATTATGGTGGTGGTGATGACAACAATGATGATGATGATAAGTCCTAAAAAAAAGAAGACCCTGTTACATCAACTGAAGCTTACTAAACTTTCAAATTCCATATTGGTATGTGTCTAAGAAGATGTATCAAGCTTTCACAAAAAGGGCGGGTCCTATGACATGAAAATGAAGACTAACATTTATGAAATTATGCCAACAGCTACCAGCTACTAGGAGCCGAAAATTGTGCTTAAATTACTAAACAAGACAGAATGCACTAAGACAGCCTTCAAATATTTGACAGTCCCTTCTCATATATTTACACAAAATCCCTTCTTCAAGATGAAATATCACAAATACAAATAATTTTGATGTTTAAAAAGTCCTCTTTGCAAGTCAGATGACAAGACTGGAAAACAATACAGGATACAAAAAGTAATCCCATGCCACTGATTAGGAAGATTCACAAGTTCCTCTCATGTTAAAATTAACAAAAAATGTACAAACAATTCTCCAAATTGAAGCAAAAAAATCGTAAACATAGAGCTCATGCATAGTAGCCTGATAGCAAAGAGAGAGTAGCTCCTGTTTAAGAATTTATTCACTGAAAAACAATATATGTACATAAATTTCTAAGAGGCCAACATCTTAAATTTTTCTGTTTTATAATAAATTTTTAGAACAAGAAGAATAATTTATTAACTAAGCAATAAAAAAGAAAATTCTCTTGAATACATATTGGTATCATTATGTATATTTTTCAAGACTTCTCATGAACAACTGATGCAGTACATACAATAAAAAAAAATCTAAATTGAAAAATAATATTTACCTAAATAACTCAGTGGACTTGAAATTTTGGTATGTGATCATAGTACATGTATATAAAACATATGCAATGAGTAAAACTTAACAACCAATGAGGAATAAATTTGATAATACAAAATGAGACTCAAGAAAGCTAAAGAGCTGACACAAAACACTGACCCTGTACCAAAATTCTTAGTAGCCAAGGGATTGCGTAACTTTGCTGAAGATGCAATGCCAAAATGTCGCCTACACATCTTCCCTCATGAAATCATTCATCTGCATTCATACCTTTTCCTACATCTGTCACTGTGAACCCTATTCATCATCTACAGGGATATGAAAAAACATCCAGCCTTTGAGAGCACCACAAACATAAGGACCACAAACAAAAGTGAAGTCATGTCAAGTGAAGCTTACATATATCAGGAGTTTCAATTTCCTCTTCAGTGTCTTGTAATTGGCCTTATAATCCTCTGGTCCATCTGTCTGTACTGGCATGACGAAACCTGTGAGGGATGAGGGAACAAAGTCAGAAAATATACCAGGTACAGATAAATGTGTATATTTGCAGTACCGCTAAATATCAAAAACATTAAAATTAATAATTATTACAAATACTACATTTATTCTCCCAGGTGTGTGGCTTGTAGACCTGGCCCACACAAACACCCGTGTGCTGTATCGAGACTCCTTCCTTCCCCTTTTTAATGTTATCTCTTTTTCTGCACATGCATTTCTTTTTTTTTTTGACATTTTCCATTCTTTATCATCAAAGTTTTGGTGAAGAGGGTTGTTTTACTATAAGGTATCCTGTATTAAGATAGTAATTGACCATTTTCATTTTGCAAACTTCATATTATCTCTCTCAGTAGTCTACAATACTATGCAATAACAATAACAGTAGGTAATATTGTGCTACTGGTGTCATTTTTAAAAACATTTTCATATTACTCAATTTTCTGTATGTCACTGATCAGAGAGGGAGAGGAGTGGGATCCTGAGCATGGAAACCGTGTCCTCCATGGAGCTGGCACTTTTTCAGCCATGGTTCCCAGGAAGAACATTCCACCCTTGTTAACCCAATGCTGACAGGCATGGCATGCACGTACATGCCATGCCCACTGTGAGTTTACTTTATTAATTGTGTTTACTCATAGATGACTACACTTGTACTAAGTCACCAATGAGCCAATTACAAGTACCGCCTGTCTTGCCCGTTTACCCTTTTCTTTGATTTACAAAAATATTTTACTTCATCTTATTTTGCTGTTACTAATGTTTATAACATTATAGTAATTATAATGTTTATAATAAAATATAATACCATCAATATTATATTCCTGCCAATTAAAGGAAAGGTGAAATTAGCTAAGGTCACAAGGGCTACTAATTGATTCCTTTGTGGCTGAGCACTAGCAGAGCAATCCATATATAAGAAAATAGAAAATGAACACAGCATTTTCCCCAGCAGCATGTGGTTAATCTTCTATAAAAAAAAAAAAAACAATTATACCAATTATATGATTAATAAATAACTTTCGATAAAACACCTGCTGTGGCTTTTAAAAACACTTTTTCCTTGTAACACCTTTTGTTCTCTCCAAATCCCCCTGAAAGTTTCTATGATATACAATGCCATCTATAGACTTAACCTAATGCTGCTGGGAACATACAATGTCCAATGTAGTTTTTTTGTGAAATGTGTGTACACACAGAAGACTCCACAAGAGTGCACTCAACAAGGAGTAAATCAGAATGCTAGATTTCCCCTTTCCTTGGGCTTTCAGGAGAAACATTTTTTCTCATGGTATTTGATGCCTTTATCAGTAAATATTCAGAACACTTATATGTCATGGGTGTGATGATTGTGGTACCAACGGATTCCTCTAACTCTTTATTATTTAAATATGTAGGATTTAATGTGAGGAAACCCCTAAAAACCATACATTTAGACCAAACAGTAGAGGAGGGAATGAAGAGATTGTGGGGTAAAATATGATGGAAAAATATGTGCGTACGCTATATAAGCCAAATAAATAATTTACTGCAGGCCTTTGGCGCTCTGGCAAAGCATAGTACAAGACAATTTTTAATTTACTGCATGGTAGCACTTGGAGTAATTTTTTACTTGATGCCAAGAAGAGGTAAACCTACTTGATTTATGTTGTCCCCTGTAGTTTCTTGTGAATTTTGTTACATGCAGATTGCTCCACATATGCACAGCCGGCAAGGAGTCTATCTAGGCCCTAGTGACCAATCGTGATTTCCCCATTCCTTGAATTGGCAGGAAAATGTGATTTTTTTTTTACAAACAATTGATATCAATACTAATATTATTGTTATTGATGTTATGATTATTTGATTCTTACAAAAATCTCGGTAACATTTATGACAATGAAATAATATAAAAGAGTCTTTCCAAAAGCCAAGGAAAAGGTTTAACAGGTGAGATAGGATGGTCTAATAAGTGACTCTGCGGTGACTTGCCATCCGTGTCAATTGGGTTACTGTTACCAAGAGTGACACACAATGATAGAGGGAAATGGACAATGCCATCTTATAGAGAATAAGAAATAGAATAACAAATAGTACAGGTACAGCTACAAACGACCTAATATTTACGGCGAAACGACAAAAATATCCACTACATGTTACTGTTCAGAGAAGTTCTTAATGTTGTGTCTTCTATAATTTGGCACGAGGTGCTAATAGGGGGGGGGGGGGGGGTACAGGGTGTTTGTCCCCCTGGCTAGGGAATAAATAGAGGGTAGGAAAGGTTAGGCTTGGAATATTGGGTTTACATGATAGCCTAGTTTTGGGACTTCGTTTCTGGAGGGTGCATTGCTCTCGGTAACAAATACCTTGACACCAATGCCAGATGCCATGTGGAAAATACCTCTACTACAGACTATTGAGCTCCTATAGAACCAGGGTGGAATCCATGTATGTTACGCCTGAGATCTCCGGCGTGGATTTGTCCTCTTGACTGGCGCACTGGCATGAGAATGAGCTGGTTCTCAAGCCTTGGCGTGATGAATTACCGATGTTATTGATGATTTCATTGATGTCTTGCAATTACCATTTCAAGTTTTTTTCTGATAAGTTTGATCGTAAAGTAACAATGAGACATATTCAATAATCAGAGATTTTCATGAATTAACCCAATGGTGACAGGTGACGAAAACCAAAAAAAAAAAAACTCTACGCTCTGGCAAACCATGGCAGTGCACCGACTTTGAGCTCGTGAGTTTGGTACATCAGGCTGAATCACTGGCTCGCCGCACTTTGGCGCGCCGCTGCGGCATACAGCCATATGCCACTTTTCGAGCGGTTTGTTTTCATGCCTAGCGGCGTCACCCGTCGTGAAGGGGTTAATATAGAAGT